TGCCAATCCTCCTCTTTTTGCTGAGGAAGATTGGCCCTGGGCTAACATCTGTGCCCATCTTCCTCTACTTTATATGGGATGCCGCCACAGCGTCGCTTGACAAGCGGTGCGCGCCCAGGATCCGAACCTGCGAACCGCGGGCCGCCAAAGCAGAGCGCGCGCACTTAACCACTACACCACCGGGCCGGCCCCCACAGATCTGTTCTGACTCTATGACTAAGGTGACGTTGGAATTTTTTTTTTAGGAAAACTCAAGGAGAATTTGGAAAGCTGAATCACTGTGAGAGAAACTCCAAAAACTGTCAAAGAACTGCATCCCTGTTACCCCTCCTCCCAATAAAGGGCACTAATGAATTCAAGACGATTTACATATTAGTCCTATCATAAGATCCAGGAGCAGAAATAACACCTATGCTACTTGACCTGCTCCAGAGCATGGGGTAAAAAAGTAAAAACCTCCTAGTTTATTTTAGAAAGTTAACAAGAACCCAGCTACCAGAACCCATAGGTAGCATCCAAAATGGACCAATGGCATTTACATATACAGATGCAAAAATCTTATAAAATAACATATCAAGTTCAACAGTATTTGAAAAAATAAGACATTAGGACCAAGTAGGATTTACTCCAGGAATGCAAGGATGGATCAATGTTCGGAAATCTGTGATTATAAATCATATTAATAGGCAAAAAAAAAATTTTCATCAACATGATGGCCGCATTTATGACTAGATGGTTGCATGGACACAGAGAAATAACCGAAAAGTAGATAGCACATGTCTCCACGGATGGTGCCTGTGAGGTGGGAATGGACAGTGATAAGAGGGAGGCCAATTTTATTACTTACTTACTCTCGATTTGTTTGAGTTTTTAAAGCATTATTAATAAACAAAAATAAAAGTATTTTTAAAATATATATTACTTGTGTCAATAAAAAAGCTTAAAATCTTTAGTAAGACAGAAACAAAAAGATACTCTCTATCTCAAATCAACACTCAATATCATACTTAAATGATAACATACTAGAGACATTCCCATACAAGTGGGATGCCTAGATCACAGCATGATATAACATTTCCCCCGGGAGTGCCAGCCAACGTCATTAGTCAGGGAAGTAAAAGAGTATATTTAAATATTGGAAAGGTGGGGCAAATTATTTGCTGGAAAACCAAAAATAATCAGTTTAAAAACTATTTGAAGGAGGAAAAGCTCAGTAGCTTTTCCACACAATGGTTTTTCTATACATCAGCATTAGCCTATTCAAAAACATGAGCAGCTGGCCCAGTGGCGTAGCGGTTAAGTGCGCGCGCTCCGCTGCGGCAGCCAGGGGTTCCCAGGTTCGGATCCCTGGTGTGGACCGACGCACCGCTTGTCAGGCCATGCTGTGGTGGCGTCCCATAAAAAGCAGAGGAAGATGGGCACAGATGTTAGCCCAGGGCCAGTCTTCCTCAGCAGAGGATTGACAACAGATGTTAGCTCAGGGCTAATCCTCCTTACCAAAAAAAATAAATAAATAAAAAATAAAAAAATAAACAAAGATCTGATTCACAATACAAAAAAAAAAACCAAACCAAAATAACTAACTATAAAATAAATATGAAATGTGTACAAAGAAAACCGTGAAACTTTACCAAAGGATATAAAATATTTAGGGAGTTAGATGACTCCCTAACTGCTCTTTTGATAACTAACTCTACACTCCCAACTGGAAAGGCTTAATACTGTAATGATGATAACCCTCTCTTCATTGTTCTGTAAAATGAATATAATCCTAACCGAAACCCGCAAAGGATTTATATGAGAACCTGCCAGCCTGATTCAAAAGTTTGTTTGGAAGAATGAGGAGAGTGGGGGGAAAAAACCCCGAAAAAAGAGCAACTGGAGAAACTGGATTTGCCCCATCAGACGTTAAGACACAGTTTAACGTTATACTAAGGAAAACCCCACGGACCCGACATTGGCACAGACAAGGCACACTGGTACAAGAGGCAGCCCCAAATATAAATGAGAATTAGTCCATGACAAAGAGCATTTGAAATCAATGGGGAGAAGAGGGATTCTTCTGGAAGTCGCAGGCTGGTTCGTGGTCCACATTTGTGCCTCGCTTTCACATAAAAATAATTAAATTAAAATAATATTTAAAATGTAGTTGCCAACACTTATAGATTAAAAGATTTTACACGAAAATCCTGATTCCCTGACCATGCTGGGCCTGGACACCCCCAGGCAACAACCAGCGGGGGCTCAGGAGCAGCTATTTCTGCAGATCCCAGTCCTGGTGCGTTCCCACCGGACGGGATGGCTTCTTTATTTACAGTGCATGTTGGCTCCTACAGGCAGCTGAGTTTGAGACCCTCAGGATATTCAATAAATGATTTGGGGACAGAAGACAAGAAAGATGTGACAGCCAGTGTGACTGCAGATGCAGTGAAATGGGAACTCACACCGGCTGCTGGGGCTGCGGACCGGCTCAACATCTCTGGAGGGCGATTTAGCAATAAAAACCCTTATGCTGTCCATACCTCTAGATCCAGAAACGTCTGTTAGAAATTTATCCTGAGGAAATCATCCCAGAGGTGTGGGTATATGCCATGGTGTGACAAGGAGGGTCACCAGAGCGCTAATTATAATGGCGAAACGTTGTAACCTGAAAGTCCCACTAAATGAATTAAGGAGGTGGTGGGATCACATTTTTTCCTTTGCTATTTTTACAATTTGCCTAAAGAAAAGCAATTTTAAGCAAATTACAAAACAACATGATCCAAATTTTTGATAAACACAAAAGAAAACTACTGGCACAATATATACTAAAAGGTTAAAAGTTAAAAGGTTAACAATAGTCATTATTTCTGGGTCATAGGATTACAGGTAATTTTTTGGTCCTCTCTTGACAGGCTTTATTTTCTAATTTTTCTACAGTCATCATGTATTACATGTGGAATAAAAAATTTAAAGTAATTAAAATTGATTATACAAAGTTTTTAAAAGGTTGAGAAAATAAAATAGACAATCAAGTAACAAATAGGCAAATACCCTGGGCTGCTAGCTGTGTGGCCTCTGTACCCAGAGGACGAGGACTCGTGTCCCACTCATTGAGGAGTAAGGAGAGGCAAGGAGGAGTCAGAGTGCTAAGCTCTTAGCTACGGGAAGGAAGGTGGCCAAATGGGGGTGCTGCCCACTCAGGCTCAGCGTGGGAATGGAAGAGCTGCGCCCTGGGGGGCAACTGGATCCACCTGGGGGAAGGGCAGAGGAGGGGAGAGGGAGAGAACTTCCCCGATGGTTATCTGTGACTGGGTATCACCGACCCAAGGCTGCCAGAGAGCTCGGCCCCAAGCTGCAAAGAAGCGCCTGCTGCTCACGTTTCCTCCTTGCCATCTGGTCGTACTCAGGACGCAGCTCACCGAAAAACCAAATGTAGCAGCACTGAAAGGCCCTTGGGAGGCAGGCCCTGGGTCTGGGGCCAGGCTCTGCCGCTGACCTGCTGTGTGTTGCTGGGCAGGTTCTTGCTCCTTGCCCTCTCTGGGCTCTGGGCCTCAGTTGTCCCACGTGGACCTGAGACGTGGACAGTGGAGAGGGCTTGCCTGGCAGAGGCGGTCAGTCTTTGTTGGGGCCCAGAGAGAAGGCTAGAGAAAAGCGAAAGGGCTAAAGCTGGAATCAAGCTATTGTGGCCACACCTGGTCCCTCCAGGGACAAGTAACCCCAAGCGCTGCCTGGTCTCACGACCCTTCCTGAGGGTGGACGGGCGGGCAACAAAACTCAAAGCAGCCCTGCATTGTGTGGAATGACACTGTTGCCCTGGCCTGCCCAGCCACAGGGCCCTGTGAGAAAACAGCTCCAGGGAGCAGTTACCCCCACGCTGAAGATGTGCCAACTGAGATACAGCAGGTGCCACACCGTGGGGACCAGCTCCCAGGACTCCTGCTCCCAGAGGGGGCATCCCATCCCCCTCCCCACATGACCACTTGCCAGAAAAAGCACCAGGTCTGGTCCCTTGGGTCCCCAATGAGTGTTGACACAGAGGTGGAGTCTGAATGAACCAGTGACAGAACAGGCAGTGGGGGACTTAGGAGGGGTGTCCAGCTGCTAGGAAGGATCCTTTCCCCCTTTATGGACCCCAGGCCTGGCCTGGGCTCTGGATGAGCTACAGAGGCTGGGGTGCTGAAGGGTGCAGAGTTGGACAGGCCAGGGCTGTGGGGAGCCAGAACTACCCCCCAAGTGCTCCCATCTGCCAGGGGTTCACCATTTGCCAAGGGACCAGGGACACCCCCAAAGACCTATCATGGTGAGTCAAATGTCTGGCCTGGCCTTTGAGCCACCCTCCTCCCCAACGGGCAACGCTGCTGCTCTCAGTAAGACCACTGGGGGATGGGGGTGGGGCGAAGCAGGTCTGTGTCCTTGACCCTGCTGCTCCCAGCTGGAATGTTCTCCCCTTGGCCAACCCTACCATCCTTCCCCACACTCTTCAAGTGCTCACTGGTGGCTAACAGGTGCCATGCCAAATGCCAGGAGCAGAGAGCCTGGGTCCTGCCTGACTGCAAGTCTGGGGCAGCTGGGCACCTGAGCCATGAGCCCACAGAACTCCCTAGAAGAGCAGCTGCGTGAGAGCTGGGGTGGTGGGGAGTTGGGCCTTGAAGGATGTGTAGGAAGGCAGTGGGTAGAGGCGATGACGAAGGGCACTCCAGGCAGCAGGGACAGCACACAAAGACCTGGGGGTGAGCTGTTGTTGCCAGAATAGAAATGGCTGTGGGCCTCAGAAGACAGCATTCTGGGCTTGCTGTCTACAGAGCTGGGAGCTTGGGATGGTGGGAGCTCCCTGCAAGAGAGGATGAATGTGGTGAGGCTTAAGTGGGGATTTGTGCCACGAACTTGAAAGGTAAGAGGTATCACAGAAATGCCAGGGGTAACGGCTGTGTTATTACAGTTCTGAGGACCATTCCGCCCAAATGGAGACCCCACCCCACATATCACTCAACTACAGACCAAATCTCATTTATCAAACACCACATACTGGGGTTCCTGCCTCTCAGCAATGCTATGAGGGGAGGTATCGTTATCCCCATTTTACAGAAGAAACTGAGGCTCAGCGAGGCTCCCAGCTTGCCCAAGGCCACAGAGCGGGGCAGTGGGAGTAGAGCCCAGATCTGCTGAGGCCAAGGCCTGGGGGCTTTGCCCCACACTCTGCCTCTCTGAGGTGGTAGAAGTAGGGTGTCCTTGCACACCCAGGGGACAGGTTGGTAGAGCAGCCTGGGCAGAGGAAAGGCCCAGCGAGGGACACTGTCTGAGCAGACTGCTCAGGGCAATGACAACCCCAGCTCTCCTGGGAAGCTGTAACAGGCTCTAGACCCAGCCTGCCCATCGACCTCCAGGGAAAGTGATCCTGAGACCTTGCTGGCTTTTAGTGCCACCTGATAGCCCAGGAAGGGGGCCTGGTAAGGCCGGTGGGGCCAGGTTTCCCGGCATTCTGTGAGTCCTGCTCATCGTCAGGTCCTCGGGCTCTGAGGCTGCAACCCCTTCATCTCTCCCATACCCCCAAAGAAAGGGGATGTCCTGGAAAGGGAAAAGACCCCTGGTGGACAGCTCAAAGGCAGTGGGGGCACTGCAGGCTATGCTCCTGACTTGTGGAGCTCCCAGGAGAGGAGGACATCAGAGCCAGAGCCGGAGAGCCCTCAGGGACCCCTAGTCTAACAGACAGGGACCCCCTAGTCCGACAGGCCCCCAGGACGCAGTGAAATAGCAAGGAGCCTGGAGCCAGAGCCCAGGTCTTCAGTCCCTGGCTGTGTGACTTCGGCCAAGTTGCTAGGCCCCATCTGTAAAGTGAGGATAAAAGGATTCTCCTGTTTCAAGGTCACAGTGAGAATTAAATGGAAATGTGCCTGAAACCACCCACCACAGAGCCTGGCACTCAGTAAGCAGATGCTCAATTCCTGGCAGAAGGATCTGGGCTCAGGGAGGGGTGGGAAGTTCTTGAGTTCACACAGCAGCCTGCACTTGGCTCCTGTGAAGGCGGACGCTCTTCCTCAGCTCCAACTAGCACAGCCAGCCCACAGGGGGTCCCCAGCCACCAACCCTGCCCCAGTCCCAGCTCCAAAGGGGTGAATAAGAAGCCACACTTACTTGAGGATGTCCTTCTTATTGAAGAAGGTGCAGTCCTGTAGAGGGAAAACACACACACAGTTGGTTGTACGGGTCCCGGACTCCTTCCTTCCTCAGAGCCTCACAGGAACAGCCCTGCACTGGGGGCAGAAGAGTCCCTACTACCCCTCCCTGTCCCCGCCCACCGGGGATAGCAGTTTAGTGGGTCCAGAAGCTGCTTACTGAAGCTTTTGACCCGACCCAGGGAACTGAGTGCATGGCATGGGGGCGCTGTGAGGCATGCCTGGAGGAGTGCATTTAGGGGGCAGATGGGGAGTTCAGAGGTGGGTGCCATTAATTTTGGGGGCCAGTGGGATACCCTGTGGGATACCAGGGGGAAGTGGCTGGGAGACAACTCAGGAGACCAACTCAGGAGTCAGGACTGATAGGGCCACCACGGGTGACAGCTGCAGGGGGCGCTGTCCACACTGCGGCCCCTCAGAGTGGTGGCTAGTGGAGCTGTGTGGCGTGTGTCCCGAGTGGCCGTGGGCAGCAGCCCTGTGCTCAGAGACTGCGAGTTCCAGGCGCACAGACTGGGGAAGCACCAGCATCTATGCGGCATCTGAAGCCACAGGAAGAGATGAGGTCACATAAGGAACGCAGTGGAGAGGCCAGGGGTGTGGGGAAGTAAGGGGGGAGGAGGAAGGTGGGCAGGGAGGAACTGGTAGCATCTGGACAGAGGCAAGGGCAGAAGCTGCTGGGGACCCCCAGGTAGGCATTAGTGGGGGAGGGGCAGCACTCGGTCCTGAGGGTACCCAGATTATAAACTCATCTTGGGGCTCCTGCCTTTGTCTCGATGACCTGCTACCCACAGTCACACCTCTGTCCACAGCCTGGCCTGCCTGGTGATGATGGCTACCATGCCAGGCCTTGGTGGGATGTATGGAGGTGAAAAGGACCCAGCATGTGGTAAAATGCCCACCTGTGAAAGGCTTTTATGCTTATCCCATGCTGTTTGGCTCCTCCAAGTGAGGGAAGAGGGCACCTCAGGGTCTGCAGAGCCCAGAGCCCGTTGGGGCCTCCTGGGGTGGTAGGCCGACCAGAGCTGCCTCTGACGAGGGGCTAATGGCTGCAGCCCAGGCTTGCAGACAGCCAGGCTTGCAGTGGACGAGACCCGGAGGCCGCTGGGCACTGGGGCAACTGGATTGCACATTGAGGGGGACCAAAGAAAGGAGGCCCACAGGATGCACACATCTAGGGTTTCCACTGGGCGCCTGCAGGAGAGCTGAAGAGGGGAGAGTCGGTGGGAATTTCCAGGCCCCGTTTAGCCCCACAAGTCTGTCTTTCTCAACCACATGCTGCTTCCTGGGAGTTAGACTAAGGACCCCCATGCTGCCTTGCCCTTTTTGGAAACATAGAGGCTTCTCTGGGGGACTAGGCTTTGCTTTCAGCAACAGCTCCTCTGGGGCTGGCCGGGTGGCATAGTAGTTAAGTTCATGTGCTCCACTTCCAGTGGTCCAGGGTTTGAGGGTTTGGATCCCGGGTGTGGACCTACACACCACTTGTCAAGCCACGCTGTGGCGGCATCCCAAATACACAATAGAGGAAGACTGGCAACAGATGTTAGCTCAGGGCCAATCTTCCTCACCAAAAAAAAAAAAAAAACCAATAGCTCCTCTGTAGGAGCAAGGAGAGGCTCAGGCTGGGGAAGCAGTGTCCCTGTGCCCACCCAGCATGGAGAGAGAACTCCCAGCAGGCCTAAGCCTCAGACAGGCTAGAGATTGCGTTGGCTGATTTCTCAGCAGACCCCAGAAACCTGGAGCAGGGAGCAAAGGCAGCCCAGCTGAGCCTTCCAGGTGCAGACCTCCCTTGGCCCCGGGGCTGGTTCTATGGCCTGAAGGTGCTCTCCCAACCAGCCTGGTGGGAGGTGCCAGCATAACTCGGAATGGGGAGAGGTCCTGGCTTCTGCTCTTTTCTCCTAACCTATCCTCTTCCCTCTTCCCCATCTCCTTTCCTCTCTCCCATCCCTGGGTTGGAAAGGAAGTATCTGAGTCCTGACACAAGAGTTCTACCGGCTGAAAGACACAAAAGCTTCTCACAACTACTTACACCAGTCGACATCAATGGCCCTCAAGGTGTGGTTCCTGGACCAGGGGGAGCAACATCACCTGGGGACTTAGTGGAAATTCAGGTTCTCAGGCACCACTCCGACCTACTGAATCAGAAACCCTGGGAGCAGGGCCCAGGAATCTGCATTTTAAAAAGCCCTCCCAGTGATGCTGATGCTTGCTAAAGTGTGAGGGCTTCTGCTCTAGAGCCGAATCACCTGAGGAGCTGTTAAATTCCCTGTGCCCTCTCCCACCACCACCACCAATAGACCCCAGATCAATTAAGTCAGAATCTCTGAGGGTGGATCCAGGCATCAGCAGTTTTCAAAGCCACTCAGGAGATTGCAATGTGCAGCCCAGGCTGAGAACCATACCACAACTGGTCCGTGATTACCATGGGCCTGACCTGTGGGGGCTGTGAATATCCAATTTTGTTTAATCTTCATCACTAGCCTATGGGGGAGGGGAGGCATTATCTTCCCATTTTATAGATTGGAAAACCGAGGCTCAGCAAAGTTGAATAGCTTGCCCTACATTGCACATGTAGCCAGGGAGGGCTGGCCTAGAACTCAGGCCTGTGTGATTCTTGACTACTGCCCAACGACTCTGAATAGAGCCACAGTCCACCCATGAGCATTGTCCACCAACCACTCCATGTCCTGCTTCTGCTGTATATTCCTGTATAGGCACACAGTGGGTGCTCAACACAGGCTGGTGGGATGAGTGACCAGACTTCTCCATATAAACTTTCTACAGCAGTTATGTTATCATTTCACTGGCTGCAGACTATCTCACCGAAGGCATTGGCTGGCTCTGCTCAACCTAACCTTTCTCTTCTTTCTGAACATTTAGCAACAGCTGTTTCTAGGTTTTCAACATCACCAATAAAGCTGCCATGAACCTGCTCATCGACTGATGTTTTGCTTTTTCTTCTGTTGACTTATTTCTCTGGAACTCATCCCAGGGAGGCAACTCAAACAGGACAAACATGGCAGGTGCCTTAAAGGCTTCTCAGGGCTCTGAATAGCCTGGCAGTATGGCAGAGGAAAAGGTTTCGTAGTCAGATTCAAATTCTTGTACTGCTTTGGACCCTTAGGCAAGTCATTCTCCTTTCTGAGCCTCAGTTTCTGCATCTGTAAAATAGGGATACCTCTTCTCAGAAAGGGCAGTGAGAGGAGCAAATGAGATAAGATGCAGGAAGCCTATCAGCTACAGCTTACGGGGGTTCTCTCCTTCTTATGTGCAACAGCTCCATCCACTACCCCATGTCCCAAAGGCATCCCTTCAGAGCCTGCAGCTCTGTGTCAGCCCCGACTCTGAAGTCACCAAACAAAACCCCTCGCCCCCCTCCATATACTCAGCTGCTCAGGGAGCTAGTCACGTCTGCAGGAAGTCTTCCTTATACTCCACTGAGAACAAATGCCCCTGTCACTGTGTGGCTCCTGGCAGTTCATAGGGACAGGTCTTCAGGCAAGGGTCCCAGCTCAGGTTAGGGTCATGAGGGGTGGGAGTGAGGGAAGGATGGGGCCTAGCCCAGCAGAGGTGGATCTTCAGGACTCTGGCAGCAGAAAACAGGGCAGGCTGGGCTTTTACAGTGGAAGCTCAGATGTTATGCCCGTTAAGGCTGGAGTTCCTCCTCCAAACCTATATTCACCCTGTTTCCCCACCTGGAGTGCCTTCCCCTTCTCCAAATCCTTTCCACTCTCCAAAGCTCACTCAAGGGTTACTTCATTCAGGCAGCCTCCCTGCCTCCCATCTCACACATGCCTGGTCTGCCTGTGCCAGTGGTCATAAGCTGAGCCAGACCCAGTCCCAGCTCCATCCAGCTCTGCCAGCTCAGGCCTCAGCACTGCCCAGCTGATCACCACATAGCTCAGCTGATGCCCACAAGAGCCGTGTGACATGACCACAGCAGGGTTAGTAGTTATTCCCATTTTAGAGGTGGGAACACTGAGGCCCAGAAGGGAACAGTGGCTTACTAAGGCCTACAGCATATACAGCCCAGCCACGACTTGAACCCAGCAATTCGGAATCCCTGGAGTTCTTTCCCCTCCTCAGAGCCGTGCCTTAACAAGCGTTCATTCATTCATTCATTTATTCATTTGATAACATCTTCCAGTGCCTCTTCTGTGTCTGGGCAGGGGGCACACAGGAAAGGAGACGGAGTGTAAACAGACAGTGGTGACTGGGTATAAACCACTCTGTGGCCACAAGAAGGACTGGGGGGAGGGGGGTCAAGGAGACATTCCTAAGGAGGTGAGGTCTGACCTGGACAGAACGATGGGCCAGACTGGGTTGGTGCAGTGGGGAAGGGAGGGCGCCATGAGAACAAGGTCAGAGGTGAGGGCATGCTTTGCTAGAAGCCCTTCAGTATGGCTGGAAGTTGGGGTGCAAGGGGAGGGGAATAAGGTGAGGCCGAAGGCTGGCTGAGCCCAGACCAGGCCAGGGTGAGCTCTGCTCTGGACTCCGCTCAGGCTATTATCGCAGGATACCGTGGAACTACAGGGAGAAGAGAGGGTCATGCCTGTGTTTTAGAAAGATCTCTCATATCTTGCATTTCTGCTCCAGGCATTCATGTCCTATGGACAGCTCCCTAAGGTCTCCCACAACAACAGGAGATTGGTTAATACAATGCAAGTTTTTGTCCGTGGATTCTTTTTATAGAAAAAGTTATTTTACAATGGTGATACATATTGTGTCTGTTGAAAGAAAGGGAAAGGAAGAAGGAAGGTAGGAACGAGGATAGGAGGGAAGGGGGAAGGAAGGATGGGGGTAGAGTGAGAATACTAAGGGATTATGGCAGAAGCGTGTGGGTGGCTGGAGGGGGCAGACAGGAGGGGTGGGCAAGGAAGTAGTTACACCTTCAGTTCACATGAGATGAGGAGGCCAGGCCCAGGGCCCTAGCTGTGGAGACAGAGGGGGGATCCCCAGACGAGATCCAACAGAGGCTGAGTTACAGCACTTGTTCTTAATGAAAAACGTGGGCTGCAGAGAGCAGAGATGGAATTCCTTGGGGAGCAGCGGTGGGTTCTGGGGAAGGCAGTCAGCCCCGTTTGGGAGTTTCAGGGGTCTGGGGGATAGATCTGGAAGGCAGAGAAGTGGTCTGGGAAGAAAGCTGAACTTTGGAAGTCACTAGCACCGGGGACGGGGGAGAGGATCTCTTGGGGGAGGGGAGGCTGTAACTCAGGGTCACTCCCAGCTGGCCCTGGTTGGCTGGTGGCTGGCTGGAGAGTCCGAGGGAGGGAGAGGTGGTGCTCTCAGGTTTCACAGCTCTCATTTCTCCTACCCTGCCCGGCACGCGGTCCAGCCAGGCTTTGGCAAAGCATCAGAACCCAATACTGGCACTGATTCCGAAGGGTAACCCAAGGCCAGGCTGCCCACCCCCACGCGGCTACTCTTCACTTCTGAGCACGGTCTACCTGCTTGCTTGTGCCCACCTCCAAGCCTTTACCCAAGCTGTCTCCTCCACCTGGAATGCCTCGTTGCGGGCCCTGCTGGGGAAAATCCTACCTATCTTTCAAGTGCTGCATTATTTCTGAACCTTCCAGTCAAAGCAAAAGCTCCCCCTCCCTCCTGGTCTCCCACTGCCCACTAGTGCCCTCCCCTAGAGCACACTCCACCACCTGCCTCTCACAAGGGCCACACTGGTGGCGAGGGTCTGTCTCTCCAGTCAGTGAGTGCCTTGAGGACAAAGAGCATACACAGCCCACCTTTCACTCCCCAACCAAAAGGACTGAGCCTTAGATTCACGATTCAAATTCCTGTGTGAGCCCTGAATGGGCAGGGTGCTTCTCAGCCTTTGTTTACTCTTCTGTGGAATGGGGTAATAATCTACTTCGCTGTGATGATCAAATGAGTTGATGCATAGAGGGCATCAATTACAGTGCCTGGTACATATCCATGAAAGTGCCCCCCCCCATTCCATCTCAGGGCCTCGTATGGAGCTGAGAAATCTGCTATTGGATGAGAGAGGGCCTTTATTTTACATCTGCCACATCAGAGGACCCACACTTCAAGCCCGATATCAAAATAAATATTCATGAAGGCAGCAGGCAGCTATGGAGACCCTGCTGGTGTTCACCTCTCCCACAGCACACTCCACACAGGCAACAACACAGTCCGGCCCCTCTGTCTTGGGGAGTTGGGACAGAGGATCAGAGCTGGGCCTTCACGGATGAGAGAGATCATCTGGAAAGGGGAGAGGCATCCCAGAGGCTGGGCAAAGGGAAGGAGGAAAGAGCCTCATGCTGTTAGGGGAACTGCAGGTAGTTCTGGGGTGGCTGCAGTGCACAGGGCAGGGGAGGGACCTGGGCAGGCTGGCCAGCCGTCGTTCAAGTCAGGGGTTGGGCTTCGTGCTGCAGCCACAGAAAAGTTTTTACATGGGTGGGAGGCATTGGGATTGCTGATCTGGACAGCCTCCTGGCTCTGGCAGGGGGACCTAGAAGGGTCTAAGGGGGTGGCTGCTGGGGACCTGAGGGAGCTTGGAGAAGTGACCATGTAAAACTGGCTTGCCTTCTTGTTCTGATTATTTCCATGCTGGTGCCAGAGGGAGACCCCAACGGATAACAAGACATACCCAACTTAAAACCGCCTTTGGGGGCTGATGCACCTCACCCCCAACCCAGATAGGGCCCCAGCTCACTCTCCTGGGCTGCTTCCCGGGACTGGGGGAGGAGGAGCGGGGTGGTCCTCTGTCCGGCCCACATTTACTGACTCTCTATCTCCCGGCGAAGATGGGCGCTAGGATGGGTGGCTGGGGAGGGACACGGGTCCAAGAGTAAGAAGGCGGAACAGGGGAGGGAAGGGGGGTAGCTGGAGCGAGGCACGCCTGTGAGAATCTTCTAACTGGAAAGCGCTCTCATTCCATGAGTAGGGAAACTGAGGCTCGGAGAAGTCACCGGCCCAAGGTCACGCTTCCAGCTGCAGGCAGAGGCAGCGTCTGAAGCCGGTGAACCGGCTTTCGGGAGGCCTCGGCAAGCGACGGGAGAAAGAGGGGAGGGGCAGAGGGGCGCCGCTCCAAGGCCGGGGCGCGCCGGGCTCACCTGGTAGTTGTCCAGCTGCTCTTCGGTGAAGATGGTCTGCTTGTTCCCCATGGTGGCCGCGGCGCCGTCGCTCGCTTGCCCGCCCGGGCGCCGCCTCCCATCAGCGGCCGCCGGAGC